TGATTTTTCCTTTTGATGTTGACGAAGAACTGAATGTTATCTAATTATTATGCCTCAATCATCTACACTATAAGTAATTAAGCCGTTAGTCAAATTTTTTTAACTAATTAATGATCAAACAAGAGAAATCCTGAATAGATCTTGACTCGTGCGGGAGAATTTGCAGCGGTGGAGTGATGAATTATTTTTTTTAGCGTTGTACGAGAATTTAACGCATGCTCTGATGATAAACGTTGGAGGAATTTTGTTGTTTTGGTGGTTGGGTAAAACCAACACGGATCAGCAGCAAACCGGGCGATAATTCGGTGTTTGCACTAGGTTTTCATCTATTTTGTCATACTCGTTGGGAGAGTGACTTGTTCGTTGGTTGTAATACTGAAACGGGCATTGTCTGCGAGGATATATCAGCGAGCAGTGTGAATTTATGTATCCTAAATAACGAACAGTATGACTGAGCTAAGAACCCAAGGACTCTATAATATGTCATTTGATTGCTCGAGATTTGCTATCAGTGGTCCATTATTTTAAAAATATGAAAATGGATATTTTTTGCTATTATAAGTATTATCTACCAATTTTAAAATTACAAGTAAGTTAGGCCATACATGAGATCGTCTATTTAAAAAATATCACCCATTTTCTTGTGATATATTTTAGGTTCCTTGGATCTTTAGGACATAGCCAGTGTCGCAACTCAGTTAAAGTCATGCAGTTGACAAAGACTTTTCCCTGGTGACTTCAATGCTCGTTAGGACACTTTCTGTTAGATGATATGCTATGCTAGGATTAAGTTGCTAGGTAGTATTTTTGGCACCTGACTATTGTTTTGTGCTGGCTAGGTTGTCCTAATCGAGGGCTTTTTATGCTTGTGTCTTTGGCGTGCCTGCATGTTCTTTGACTTTGGTATACATGATAGTATATTAGGTCGGTCTCTTCTACAGGGTGTCATGCCATATATATGCATACACACAGGGATAATAGAAAGGGAAGCATGTGGTGATTTATATGCAAACTTTTGCTTGCAGGTTCTGCTTAGCTCTTCCACCAGGCATAACCCAAATACGTTTGTATGTTCGTGCTAAAATTTTTTTGAAGGTCGAGGCATTCTTTCACTTTCATATTGTACTTTTTAAAGTCCTTATGAGAGTAATGTAGCAGAAATATGATATGGACATGGGTTCCGAGACATTTTGGAGTGGGAACCATGTGGCGGGGACTTGAGTAGCAGCTCGTGCCCCGTATATTAATTCTGCATTTATTATTGATATATAGATTTAGGTCTGCTTATGTATACGCGGTGTCCGGCCTCTTTTTTCTTTTTTGGGATATGTTGCCGACCTAGCTGCAGAGGCCTTTTTTTATTATCTAATTTGACTTGTTTTACTGTTTCGTATTGCATGTTTGCATGTTTGAAATGAATTTCATTATTTCTTTTTGTGGTTAATCTGAGAATCACGAATACAATATAAGCTTTAGGATTTAAAATTCTAAATTTGCTACAAAATCTAAATAAAATATTCAAAACATTGATAATTTTGAGATTAAATTATTCAGGACTTTAAAATTCTCTTTTTTACTTTCTTGCATGACCTTCAGGCTAGATTTTGAATGGGTATTTTCACATGTTCCGAAGAAAATCCTCCGAGCTTCTTCAACCCGACTGACCCGACATAGATTTCTACTTAGGTGGTTGTTTAGTGCGTTTGGAATATTAGAAGACTCTCGACCCAGACGGGTAAAAGTGTTTTTGTGGAGAGCATTTTAAGATTTGTAGTTGAACTTCTTCTTTCCTTTTTTTTTTCCAGCAGCATTTTCGCCACTTCGTCGGGTACAAGTCATAAATTATAGTTTCGTTCCTTTGGCCTTAGAGCTACTGAGGTTCCTGTGGATGACATAATTCACGGATTATTGATCGGGGATCTCTAGACGTGTTAGGTCGACTACCTTCAAGACCAAATAGACTTATAGTCCTATTAGCTTAAGATGACGGGTCTGTGGTACCCTGACCCGATTACCTCTACCATTTAGGATTACTCTACTCTTCCTCTTACTAAGCCCCTTTGAGCCTTGTTGCTCCTTTAACTTTTTTGATATCATGTTGACGGTCTGATTACTGATGAGATGCAGTTCATTTGGGATACAATGATTCACCGTTTACCCTTATGGCCCAGTAAACTCTGACATATAGAGATATTTTTGTCGAGTTGATTTTGGTTATTTAATAGACTCCGAATGTAGACAAACTGTTACCCATTTGGGATGTGAGAGACTCACCATTTTCCCTGTGGCTTAGCGAGAGTTTTAAAAGCATTGATGTGTTCTCAAATGAAGTAAATATTATTTGATGACATATTTTTCAGGTTCATGATAATATAAATGAAAGTCCTTTTATCGAGAGAATTTTTGGGTAACCCCCATGATTTAATTAACCAGAGGGATACATTCCTATTTGAGACTCTTGACCCAAGAAAAAAAATGTTTTTTTGGTTCTCTGTTTATGGGTGCTCTATATGAGAATTCTCTTTGTGGATGTTGTGTTTTGAGATACTTTGATATGATCTTATTCAGATGTATATTCTCGACCCATCATATGAGAATTAGCCATATATAAGCATTATGTTTATTTTTTTGATTTGTTTGCCTATTTGTTTTTGTATATCATTCTTTTCGATTAGTCTCCTCTTTGAATCATTGATATGATTCAGGAGGGAGGTTTATCGAATAAGAGAATTATACGATGACATATAAATAGACAAGCTGACGACTCCGAGTGCTCTAAAAAGGACCGAGAAAATATATGTATTAAATATCTTACACCCAACCATCAATTTTTACATATAAACCACACACAATTCCTATGCACAATACATGTAATACCTAAACTTCAAATTTAACATAAAAACAAAAAAGTTCTTCAATATCACGCACCAAACACCTAAATTTCAAATTATACATACAAACCACACAATTTTTATGTATTACACAAAGCAAAATCTTTTCCACACCTACTGGGTCAGCTATACGAGTTAAACTTTTTTCACTTTTGTGTCCCATTGAGTGTCTTAATTTTATGTAATTATAATAATTATAATAGATTATGCCCAAATCTTCTTAGGTCTGCCTTTACCTTTCTTAATATAAGTTAAATGTAATTCATTTACAATCCTAATAGGGTTCTCAGATGGTCAACATTATGGTGGCAAAACTAACTAAGGCGACACTCTCTATTGTTGTTTGCCATTGGAGCTACACCAACACTTTCACAGATATATTTGTTTCACATTTTACCTCTAAGTAACCAATCATCCACTAAAGCACTAAAAGACTTACCTCCATCTTATCAAATGTTCTTTTAAGTATAGGCGAGTCCTCCACTTCGAATATCCAACTTGAATTCGAGTAATAACATCACCACCTAGCTTATATAAAACATTTTACTTTGAACAATAGACCCAGAATTTCAAAAACTTTCATTCATAACAGACTCATCACATGATCGATATTTAATGTGACCAAACCATCTAAGACAATCTTCTCTAACCTGTTTAAAAAAAGGAGCAACACCAACTCGCCCACCTAAGTGTTAAGCCACTCATCGCCTAAGCATTGGCATCTCAGCAAAATATAACTTAATTTTATGCTTCTCTTTTCAAATATAGGAGCAACACAACCTTTTATGTATATATCTACCACACATTAACATTAATTTTCACCCTAGAACAAAACAAATGATATACATTACATATCTAAAACCTAAACTTCAAATATCATATAGAAAGTGAAATAAAACATATTCATTTCAAACCTAAAACCAAAATATCGAATTTTACATACTTTGTCATGCAAAAAGGAAATTTCTTGCATGAAGTAAAGATGCACTAGAGAAGGAAACACTATTTTAGTTCCGGACAGGAGAGGAGGTCATGGAATACGAGAGAAGATGGGTAGTCTTGGCCGTCAGCGGATGTGTCAGAGCGAACAAATCGAAAGAAAAAAAGAAAGAAAAAATGAGAGGTTGTAGCATGGGATAGATATTCTAGGGCATTTGTGTTAGACTTCTGTCTACTTTGTGTTGGACAATAATCTACTCAATTAAATAAACTTGTTATGTTAGTCAGTTGACAAAATTTTGACGCAAAAATTGACGTAAATTTGACGGCCCTAAACAACTTCCAAGTTCACCACAAATCTAACGCAAATTCAATGGTAACATTTGTGTCAAAAAATTTCTGATGCAAATTCTAACGCTAATTCTCATCTTTTCTGTAGTGAAAAGTGACGAGCAGAATTACCAAAAGTTTTTACGTGGAACATTTGGAAAGAAAAAAAAATTAACTGAGCTTAGCTTAATTAAAATAATCCACTATGAGTTGGTGATTACACGTACAAACTTTTGTTCTGCATGCATGAAAGAGTTGCAAGATTTCTCGAGTTACAACGGGCATGTGCCAAAGAGCTTGTTAGAAACAATTTCAATGGGGAGCAATTGTTGGAGTTTCAGTAAACCATCTTCAAGGTGCGTTGTGACACAACATAACAATCAAGATAATGTACCGCCCCGTTAAACTCTTCGTGACTCCGCTACGTCAGTTGTTACTTCACACTCAACTTCACTGCTCCACAACGCAAGTCTTAACTCCATACCTAACTTCACTGTAACAAATAGATGGTGGCCAACTATGGTCGACGACTATTGGAGCATGAAAAGCATTCTTTGGATCTTAAGAACATAAACAATGTCGGACATCAACCTCTTCTCCAAATTCCGATCTTCCTCTAACTCAAACCCTAGGTCCCCTCCCAAGAGATCATACAAATTTAAATTAACCACTAACATAAATACAAAACCATTAAATCACATCATTAACTCACCACACAAAATTTAATATTAATATTACAATCATCCAATCACTCCTAAACAATTTCCCCCCATATCCCCACCAAACCCCACCCCCTTCCTCCATAAATACTCATTCTCCCTCCCCTCCATGTCCCATGAAACCCTCCCCTTATCCTCCACTTCAAAGTTGTAGTCTTTACAGACATGAATCCCAGCTTCCACCCTCATTTCTCCTCCACCACTTCTTCTTCTTTCTCCCCTCCCCTGCCTCCCCATCAGAATCCGGCTCCGAGGAGTAATTACCAGAGCCCGTGCGCCGCCTGCAAGATTCTCCGCCGGCGCTGCGCCGCCCAATGTCTTCTCGCCCCTTACTTTCCTCCGACGGAGCCCCTTAAATTCACCACCGCACACCATGTTTTTGGGGCCAGCAATATCATCAAATCACTTCAAGTAATCCTGCCTTTCTTCTCTCTGTTCCTCTCTGTTCTTCAATTTTATTTTATTTTATTTTTTTTAATTAGCGAATATTTACATATAAGCCACTTGAAATATTGATATTTATAAATTAATTAATTAATGAGGTGTTTTTTTACTTAAATTGATATATTTATGTGCGTCATGATCAAATTATACGTTTGCATAGATGCGTACATCAGAGGTTATTCAGAGGGTATTGGGAGGTTATATCCGAGTTACAAAGATATTACAGGAGGGTATAACCCGGATATAACCCCCAACACCCTTTGAACCACCCTCCGATGTACGCAGCTCTGCAAACGTCTTACGTACGCAAATTTCTCTCTAATTTTTGAGCAACATGAAAGCAATATGATTGATAATTTTCAACATTGTGATTATATTAAGCAAAATTATAATATTAGTTAGAGAATTTTTTTATAAAAAAAATTTCATAATGAATTTTAAAGTTTTTTAATTTCAAATTGTTAATTACAAAAATATCCCCTATTGTCAAATTAATTAAATTTTTTTTAATTTATCTCCACTAAATTAAAAAAAAACAAATTTATCAATAAATATTGTTTATTCAATAATTTTCGATAGGTTGAATAAACAATATTATTTAAAGATAATTATTAATATGAAAAAAATTCCATATATATACTTTTAGAAGATGATTTACATACATACCACTTAATTCCTATATAATTACATATCCAACCCCTAAAAGTCCATTTTTACCGACATGACTAATAAGCCTCCTAAATTATGCATGAAATACATATTTCATTTTTAAAAATTAAAATAGTAATATTTTTTTATGTGATAACATATTTACATGGTATTAGAATAATAAAAAAATAAAATAACAAAAACAAATATATATATATATATATATATATATATATATATATATCTAAAAATAACTCGTGGCTTATTATATTCAATGAAATTGAAACGATCTCAATCTGGCTTAGAATTGAAACAAGCGAGCTCAAATTAAGTTATCTGTATTCATTTCAGCTCGATCCAACACAAAATTGAAATTGATCACGAGTAAGTCTCAAGTCAGCTCGAGTCGATCCATATATGTCTCAAAACCAACTCATAAAAAACTCAATCCAAAGTTTTCAACTCGTAGCTCGACTCGTTTATCTCAATCTAAATCAAAATTCAAATATAACTTTCGAGCGAGTAACGATCTTCCAGCTAAATTCACAAACCCTAACTTCTTCCATAAACTCATGTGATAACCAGGAGCTGCCGGAAAGCCAGAGGGCTGATGCAGTGAGCAGCATGGTGTACGAGGCAACCGTCCGGATCAAAGATCCCGTCTACGGCTGCGCCGGCGCCATCTGCTACTTACAGAAGCAAGTGGAGGAGCTCCAGGCGCAGCTGGCTCGGTCGCGAGCGCCGCGAGCCGAGCTGCTCGCCGTCGAGACCCAACACAACCATATCCTCGCCCTCTTCTGCAAAGATTTTGACTTCTGCTTGCCACAGCAGCCATTATTTGATTCTCCTTCTCCTTCTGCTGCTGCTCTGAATCCTTTTGAGGGTTTTGGTGATTTTCTGCTTGAAGATGATGGCCATGGAAGTATCAGAGAGGAGACAGTGTGGACATCTTGACGATGATGATGATTTGGCTCTTGCTGAATATTATGATTTTTTATTTAAATATTTAACTTGATGAGAAAGGTGTAATTTTTTTTTTCTTAGGAACATAATTGAGATAATTGAGACATTGTCAGAAAAGACTAAAGTCTTACTGGCACAAAAATTCAGTACTCATGACTTTTTTCAGAAAAAGTTATCGCCTTGCATATTTACAGTAATTAGAAGTTACATTATGAAATATCGACCATGTCTTTGAGATTCTTTACTGCCAGTCAGCAAACATAACCATCAAGGTTGCTGTTACTTCTATCGAATCTTTCATGATCGAAGCATCGCTTCACTCGCTCCTAGGCTGGTATGTCGTTCATTCGCTTGATCGGCCTGTCTACTTGACTCGGTCGGTCGGGTGGTTTGCCCTGCATCAGGCTGTGAATTCCTTGTGCTCAACGGAGTTGATTCTTCGCTACGTATCCCGCTCGAGATAGTCATATCTAATTCAGTGTAATTTGTTCATACATTCTGGTAAGCATGAAGTTTGGCTGCATGGTGTGAGTAGGAGAAATAGTTTGAATTATATAGAGAATACAGTGAAGTTGAAAAGAGAAGAAAGATTACTTCAGGAGGCTTATCCAAATAGACATAAATTTCTCCAACTAACAACCTTTGCATATTAATATCAAATTTAAATTTTTATTTACATTATCCACCCCTTCCTCAAAGAATTCAAGCTTGTGGATGAACTTCTATGGTGTGAAACAATCTTTTTAGAAAAAAATTTACTCCGAAAGCATTTATGAATCATCAATAACTTGATCTTAAATTCCATCAGCTCGAAAAGATGACGACGGCTAAAGTTTTTGATCATTTTTTGATATGTTAATATTAAGTTCGGTAAGTCAGAGTGTGGACAGCGGCATAGATTATATGAAGTCATGCCTTCAACAGCGTGAGCGAGATGTGATTCATGTCGTCGTCTGCACGTCCGAACGTAGTATTTTCTCGCTGCCGCCTCTTTAATGCCCATGTCATGCTCCTCATATGTTGATAACCTGCCCATTCATCAGAGGAAAACAAGTCAAATTGAAACAGTGGCGTTTGTATGTATGTGCTAAATTGATAGTGCCTTGGATATATGTCAAACTAGAGTATGCATGCATATAAAAAATGGTCCCCAAGACTTGAAGTATTATTATATTCTTTTATATTTTCCACCCACATATGTACATATACATGTATTTGGATTTTTGAGGGCAATAGGTTATATGATACACCACCCCAGTTCTCTCTTTTGGCAACTCCTCTTACTTTTCACAGGTTTTGCAACCATTGAGGAAGAATTTTTTTGCAGTGAAATATATGACAGGAGATATAAATAAGGTATTGTGGCTAGTAGGGGGGCTATGTATAAAACAATAACTTTTCGATAATGTAGGTTTTTCTCCTCGGGCCATCGGATCTCAGAAAGGGAGCTCAGAGTCGCTCGAAGATGACAATCTAACAAAGTTCTACCTCGTCTGATGGCATAATAATAGGTTGAGACGAATAGAAACCGCGAAAATTAGAGAGATTAGGAGGAACTTAGAAAAAATAATCATGGAAATGTTCTATCCCAAGAGTTGAGTGACTTGTGTAGAGAAGATTAGAGAGGTGATACGCCGCCAACAAATTTTCATAATTCATCACGAATCTCGAGGCAATATTTTGATAAAGAAACATTCAAACTTCAATTAAGTGTCATCGAGAGCTCTGATTTCAGTGAACTTATAGTTAAACTGTTCGGCTCGATGAGACAGACCCAATGATATAAAAACTATTACAATCCGAGTCAGATCAAGCTCAGATCAAATAATTAAATCACTTTTGGAGGATTACTGGACATTTTTGGAAGATCAAATGAATATCCAATCTAGCGATTTCATAGTTGAATCAAACGTTTCGACAAAACGAATCCAACGAGCCCAAGATTGCTCAATTCCGACATCATTAAGGAACTCAAATGTCCATAAAAGCAATTGGATTGAGGGAAGCTCTCTGGACTGTCCGATCAATATGGTTCATATTTCTGCAATAATTGCACCTAGAACACTATAAATAGAGCCTGACCCCTCACATGGAGGAGGCTTGAGAGAGAACTTGAGACTTTGAGAATGACCGCAAGTCCAACATCATCCCTGTCATTGTCAATCGTCGTCGACCACCACCGATCGTCGGTGACCAACACTGACCTCCGTCGACCACCGTCGGCCGCCGTCGACCACCGCCGACTGCCGTAGACCACGACCAACCAACATGGACTGTCGTCAACCACCGTCGAGCACGCCAACCTTTGTTAATCGTTGCTGACCAGACGTCGTCAGTAGACGCTTTAACTTGGAAAATCTAGTAATCATTTCCCGTTTGTGGGATAAGAGACATTTGTAATGATCAACCTATAGCGAATTTTTATAACTGGATCAGGCCTCGTGGTTTTTTCTCTTTACGGATTTTCCACGTAAAAACTTATGGTGTCATCAAAGGTTATTTCCCTCTCATCTGAGTGTGTTTTGAATCCTGGTGCAACGCAAAGACGATATTCCATTACTCTATCGCCGTGATATTTCTAGCACGCATCAAGAGGCCATGAGGAACTTAGAAGATTTGTTCGACGTTTCCAATAGCAAGCACCAAGTCATAACTTTGACAAATTAAACAATGATTTCATGTAACAAAATATCTCAAAGCCTTTTATTTTATCAAAATTTGCATGTATCTCAAAGCCTTTTATTTTATCAAAATTTGCATGCACGTCACATAATTTTTATGTATTTACATATCAAATACCTAAGATATTATATTTTCATTTATAAAATTTTAGTGTCATAAACTTGTGCAGGAAAATGTGTGCTTTACTCTTAAAAAGTTAGTAATAGTGACATTTCTTATATGACATTAAGGATTTGAATGCCATCTTTGTAAATATAATACTTTAGATGTGCAATATGCAACTACATAAAAACTACATGATATTTATGTTAAACTTCAAATGCTTCCCACCACCCATAAGAAAGGATGTCATAAAAGCACTTGCCATTATTCATACTTAACAAATTAAAGCACTACAAACAATCTAGCCCTTTCTCCTAAACACATTAAAGAAAAGAGAACCCAAGAATAATACAATCACTACAAACACAACAGGCCACACAATCTCCTAACGTCTACTGATTTCAATTGCAGGAACATAAGCTATAACTCGAACCTGCCAGGCCTGGATTTGGTCATCCTTGCCTCCCTATAAGCCTCATCATTGTCCATTCGCTTGTCGTTCCTGAACGCAGCGCAGGCGACAACATAAACAAAAACGAGGATGATGAGGATGACAATGTTAATGATTGAAACTTTTCTCCAGCTGCGTTTCAAGGTGGCCAAGAGGCCGGCCTTGCATGAGTCGCACTGGTAGCACAGTTGCTGCTGATCATTGCTCCAACGAATACAGTCGATGTCGTTCACGAGCATCCCTGCGTTGACGTTCCATAGCGTCTCGTTCATGTACACATACCCGCATGATGTAGGTGGCTTGCAACATCCTGACTGAAACATGAAAGTTTATGTTAATGACATAGTGATTTAAAAAATGATGGTAGGAACATAACACTAAATAATTGATAAAGAGGCAGAGAGAGAGAGAGAGACTTGTAATAAAGTAAATAGTGTCAAATATATGGTGCAACTTAAATTATAGGAAAACATTGGAGCATCTATGGTGGTAGCAGTTGGATTTTGAAATGTCTCTGTGCAGATATCACCTAGGAAAGAGTTGTGTGAGAAATGAAGAACCATAGATGAGAAAGTGAACCTCGAAGTGGAAGAAAAATCTCTATGGATTTTATCAATATCAAAGAAACTAGTCATTATAGGGAATTGCTCATGGGGTCTTTAGGCTCTCTCTCTCTCTCTCTCTCTCTCTCTCTCTCTATGATGCCACTTGATGGTCACCTCAATTTATTGGTTATAAAGGCTGGCTCAAGGTAGAATACATACAATGCTATACAAGAAAAAAATTACATTGTAAAGAAACAAAATATGTACCAAGCTAAATAGTTGAATGTATGGTATATGCATCTTGTCATGTCATTTAGCTATTATATGAGATGATGAAACCGTACTGACAAATCAAGAATACTCGCCAGGTCTGTTGAAGATAATTGATCGAATTAATCTATGGAACTAGATGGCCAAATTGATTAATCGGTCCAACACTTGGTCAAGCTATTTTGGTCGAATTATCTAGCTAGGTCGTACTGAGCCAGTTGACCGACTGTTAACTTGACATGAACCCAGCTCAATAGGTTTTGGCTATAGTAGCAAAGGTGCTATGGTTATCTATAATGGCCTATAAGCCAAACTCAGAGCATAGCACTGTTTAAAATTGTGCAATCTAACGGGCGTTTTAGGCCCACCTCAGTGCAATTCTAAAGAAAAACGCTTTAAGATATACGCATCAAGCGCCTCAAGGTGCGCCTCATTTCAATTCCACTAAGGTGTGCACCTCTCCTGCTTATATTTTTTTCCTTCTATATTAATAAAACATCTTTAGCACTAATCATGTGATAATTGCCTCAAACCTGAATAAATCCAAGCTTTCCTTTCATCACAAACGATTATTAGACTTTTTGACATTACATTCTCCTTCAAACTCAAGTTATCCTGATTGACAACCAAACATCTATTAAAAAAGATTGGCCTTTGCGAGAAGAAGACCTTTGAAACAATCTTCCAATTACAAGGCCCCACTGAAATGACAAACAGAAATTATAAAAATCATTACAAAAATACCTCGTTTCTCAATAATGCAGCAAATGTGGTCGTCTTGCTTCCTGAGGAAAAGGGGAAATCAGAAAGAGGAACCCAATAGAGATATTTCTTCTTCTTTGCTTACCTTACTCTCCTGCAATGTCTCTTTCCCTCCCCACCAATTTCTCATTTGTCGATGGTGACCTCAGGGGTTAAGTTTGCAATAAAAAAATTTACAGTGATGATTCTGACTTAATGCCTAATCATAAGCTCGCCTCCAAATTTTTTATGAATTTACATATATGATACTCTAGCATCATAAAACTATGCATCAAAGTATATATTTCAATTTTAAAAGGTTTATAATAGTGTTGAGAAAATTAGGGCGAAGAAAACAGTAATCGACACAAATTCAGAAGAACACAGAGATTTAACGAGGTTCGGCAAAGATGCCTACGTCCTCGGGAGCAGAGCGGCGAGTTCCTTTCAATAATTAGAAAAGGGTTTACATAATAGAGGGATACCTCCTGTCGTCCTCGGGAGCAGAGCGGCGAGTTCCTTTCAATAATCAGAAAAGGGGTTTACAGAAATTCAGGGATACCTCCTAGGGTTACTAACAGACCTATTTATAACCCCAAGAGTAAACCTTACGCACAATATGTAATTACAACATTACATTAAACATTACCCCTGTACCATACCGCGGGGTTTTGCCCCCGCACCCCAACCCACGTAACTTCCTAATTTGGACAGATTCTTCCGCTCCGCTCCGCTTCGATCCAGCGTCTGTCCCGATATGATATATGAGCCATACCATAACAAATAGTGATATGTTTGATGTGGTTTTAAAGATGTAAATGTTATGGATATAATTATAAAAATTTCGATGTTAAATATGCAAATACATAGGAATTATGTGGTCTGTATATCAAATTTTTACTGATATTTCAGCATGCAGATATAGCATTTATGCAGAATGAGAGAAATGAATAGAATGGAGTAATTCTCCCATTATTCACATATGAACAGTTTCTCATGTATCGATTAGAACAGAAAGAACATAGATTTATGAAGCAAAATCAACCGCCAGCAGAAGAAATCTAACTAAAAAATGATTTTTTTTTTGGAATAAAATTAAGGGGGTATTATGCTGCAACTTAGTTTTATGTTAAATAGGATTTATTAAGTCTGATAGATCTGAAATTACCAAACCCATGTTCTTGTAGAAGAATTTGGGAGCAACAGTGGAGTAAATCTGAAAATCTAGATTTATGTCTTAGAAATGATGTAACGCGAGAAGAAGACGACGGAATGCGAGAAAGTTGGATTTTATGGAGCGATGGATTTATATTTTTTTTAAGGTGTTTGGATGGATTTAAGAAAAATTCATGATTAAATCCGATAAATAATACTCTGCTAAAGAAAAATTAAGAGCCTATTTGGGACAGCTACAGTTATTTGGAGAAGTAGTTCTGAAACTTATGTTTAAAATGCTATGCTGACTACTATAATTTTTTTTTAAAAAAATTCATTCTATATTGTTCTAGTAGCTACAACACTTAAAAGGCTTCCTAAGAAAAATATAATTTTCAGTTGCAGTCTTATTGCAAATGTAAAATATCCGCGTTATACCTCATTGTAACTTAATTGTAACCTACTTGTAACTTAGAAATATATAAAATCAGAAGCACGGTACTTATTAGTTAGTAGGTTATAGGTATACCCAAATGAACAAAAAACTATTCCATACGGATCGGACACCGCACGCAGCCTATCCGCCTTAAATCACCTGATCTACGGTTCAGATCTATTTCGGTGGGCCCCACCTAAATTATTTAAAAAAAAAATGAAAAAAATTCTGACCGTATAATTTTTTCTAAGACTGAATCGAAATCAAGTTGAAATTACAGTCAAGTTGACCCCTTTTCACCTGAAGCTGCTAAACAGAACAAAAAAGAGAGGAACTGATCCCTCACCTCAATGGCGGAAAGCCGGCGGTGGTAGAACATATCAACAGACTCCGAAACCACCATCCCTGTCGTCGGGACCTGCACTGTTCGATGCATCCCCGAACAAGCATGCGCATCCCGAAGACAAGAACTGATTTTGAACCAGTATTCGGGATCGCTCACTCGGTTCTTTAGCCATCCCGAGTAATCAGAGAGCTGGTACTCCAGAAACAATCGGTTAACAATCACCTGGCCATGGCCGCTGTCTGTCACGCCGAATGCGAAGACGATGAAGCCGGTTAGGGTTACGATGATGAGGAACATGACGAGGAGGTAGAGTTGCAGAAGCCATGACTGATGGTAGCAGGTGCCGAGGAAGCCCAGGAGGGAGATCACCATGATTGTGATTCCGATGATGAGGATGGGCCATTGGAGGAATCGAAGGCATTCGGTGCTGTTTGCGCGGCTGCTGAGCCAAATACCTCCGCCGAGGATGGGGATGGAGGATAAGAAAGTGATGAAATTAATGGCGGATATGAGGTTATTGGTGCGGCGCATCATGGTTTCTGCGATTCAGTAGGTTCTCTGCACTTTGTTGGCTCTGTTCTGGTTTTTTCGTGTTGAAGGTAGAAAGCGGGGGTTTTGAGGAATTTCCGGGGAGAAGAGGGGTCGGGTATAGCTGTGTGAGATAAAAAAGTGAACTTTTGTATTGGGGGTGGTGGTGGGTGAGGGTGAGGGTGAGGGTGGGGGTGTAAAAAATATTAGACATGGATGTCTAGTCAATGAGTTAGGTGATGAGATGAATGACGACATAATGTTTGATGATTGGTCTTTTAAACGACGTGCAATACGTTACCCGCTGATGAATAAATGACGACATAATGTTCAATGATATAATGTTCAATGATTGATCTTTCGAACGACGTGCAATATCCGTATGAAATATTTTCTCGTGGGATGGGGGTGGGAAGTAAATTTTTCTCGTGGGGATGGAAAAAATATTTCATCCCGACGTTCAATCACCAAGCGTCATGTCTGTCGATTAAATGCATGACGACGTGACGCCTGATGGTTGGTCGTTCGGACATGCTGTCTTCGGATGAAATATTTTCTCGTGGGGGGTGGGGTTGATGTAAATGCCTCTTAAATTACATATATATATATATATGAAAA